GAGCTAGCTAAAGCTAATAGTCTTGGAATTTACTCAGATGGTCTGTTGGGATGGTTCGTAAACGTTTTCTGTTGACATCTGATTCAATTTCTCAACTTAATCATATTTGCTTTCCAATTTAGATTCATTTTTTTGTAAATATGAACATAACCTAAACTGTCTGTGCATACGAGACAAACAGTATCGACTAAGTTCCCTGTGCAGCAGTGTGTTGTCTGCGGGGAAGTGGTGCTCAGATAAACAGACGGCCCCGCTGGAAGTAAAACTGCTGTTTGGTTGGGATTATTGATCACATTAATATGCAATGATTATTTTCTCAGGGTGAATTTGTTGTCTAAATACTGGTTTGAAGCTGTGTAATTAAAAAAGCTTTGAAGAAGACTCCAGTAAAGAGATTTGACATTTTAAGAAACATATTTTTGAAAACAGCTCTAAGTGAAGTGTTTGTTAGTCAGCACTTCAATGGGGGACATTTCAAAATGAATTATGGTTTTAAACTGCTGCTGAATGTTTATTTGTACCATATCCAATGTTGCCGTGTTAAAAAAAAACACAATGATGCATCATTTATCAGGGGTGTTTTTTTCTTCAAAATGAAGCGTTTTTGAAGGAAAACTCACTTGACAACAGAGTTCATATGTTCTCAGTGACTATGGACAGTTCAAAGACTGTTTTATGAACATGAACTACTGTCAGTGAAAACAAGAACCAGGACTCTGATGTCTAATGTCATCGCTCTTCACATCGACTCACACAACAAAGTTTGTTTTCTTTTGACTACTGGGAGAAACCTATTTATGTGTATACCTCTTTACACGGGATCCATTTTGAAATGAATAGCAGTTATATGTTTAGTAAAATAAAAGGAATACTAGATAAGAATATTGAACTGCAGTGCTCATGGGATAGCAAGCTACTCCATTTATTCCTTATAATTTCTGCCTGCAGGTGTTTGTTTTATTCACAGTCCAGTATGGTTGGTTACCTACAATGCCGTGGGGTGAGGAAGCACTTTAAAGTCATAACTTCCCCACAGAAAATTCACAGCAGGAAGAATACATTATCCATATTATTATTAACACTAGTTGTATAAAGCAATACACAGGTTTTGTATTTTAAAAACATGTAATTAAGTTAAAGGTCCAGTGTGTAACATTTAGGAGGATCTATGAGGAGAAATGGAATATAATATCCATACGTATGGTTTCATTAGCGTATAATAATCTGAAAATAAGAATCGTTGTGTTATCGTTACATTAGAATGAGCCGTCTTTATCTACAGAAGGAGCAGGTCCTCTTCTACAGAGGCCACCATGTCGAATTGTCATGTTTCTACAGTAGGTCAGAATGGACAAACCAAACACTGGCTCTAGACAGGGCCTTTCATGTTTATCATGTGTAATTCCTCCCATATGCTTAGAAGGCAAGCTGTAGTTAGTTGGTTACAAACTTCATCGCTAGAAACCGCTACATCCTACACACTGGTCCTTTAAAGGCCTTCTTATTATATGTGTTTATATAAATAAAACACTTTCGTATTTCCTATTGTGGAATTTTTCAGTTACTACAAAAATGTCCACTGTTAGTGGGTTTTTAATAAAATTATACATTTCAAGTTGTTTCAATCATTTTCACACCAGATGTTTAGTAGCAAAAGCACAGGTGTTACTAATAACATTAATGATGGCTCCGTTCTGTTCAGCTCTCCCAGTAAGCCATAACAGTGAACCAGCATGCACAATAGCAGGACTCTGAAACTGAAGCAGCTAAATGGAATTTAACCATTCATTAAATGTATTATTTATGTGCTTTTTCTGCTATTACATGTCAAAATGTCTTCTGTGAAATCTGAACCTTGAGTTAGGCGAATGTTACTTTATTAAAGTCTGTGATACTGTGGCTGGACAAAAGAAACTATCTAAAATAAATAAATAAATCCATTAGTATTCTTTATTTATGTGAGCTTGTTTGGTTATTTTTTCTGTGAGAATAAACTTTCCTCGGCCGCCATGTGATCCTGTCTCTAATCGGATTCTGTTCCTGTAAGGATCCTTCCAGCAGAGAAAGACAGAGAGAGAGAGAGAGAGAGAGAGAGAGAGAGAGAGAGAGAGAGATACAAGAGGAGAATGAGGAAATGCTTCGGTCAGGAATACTTTGAGCCCACTGGATGGAGCTGCAACGACACTTCGCAACAGAGAAACCCACTATAACCAGAGCTAACCAGAAGATTAAAGCCCAAACCAAAACATTTAGCTCAAAGCAACTTAAACACAGCCACCATGCAGATATTCCATATCTCTTACTACATCTGTCGTTTAGGTTACTGCAGTTATTTTAAAAGAATAATGTGTATGTGCAAAAAAACTTAGTATGATGGAGGTTGATAAAAGACAGCAAAAGTCAAGATTAAACTTTAATTTTGTATTATTTATTTTGCGAAAATGTTATGTATTTATAGATGGAGCTGATAAATTTAGTAATTACCCCAAAATGATGGAATATTACACTGCAATAAGACAGAAAATGTAGTGTTTTTATTAGATAACTTACTTGGATTAAGACAACACAAGCCGAACGCTTGATCTGAAAATAAACTGCTAATGAGTGTAACATAAACGGCTGAACGGAATGTGAACTTAATGCCCTGCTATTTTTTTTTCTCCTTTCCTCAATTTTCTAAGTTTGAATTCTTGACACTCTCCACCTTCACTGCAAAAAAATAAAAGACAAAGTGTTGACCCAGACTTAAAATGTTAGTTTTAATATAGTTTTGCACTGTTGATGACTCCAGATACATTTATGAGCATTAGCCAACAAAGCAAACCCAAGTCTAGCCCAAACAAACTGGGATGAAAGGCGGCCTTTGATCTTCGGCCGACCGTAGTGACTTCAGCACTTCAGCTCGATTGTTTTCAGCTGAGGTTTCTCTGGGTGGCTTCACTTCAAGCTACGACTGAAACTGCCGGAACAGGATTTACTCGTGGTTTAAGAACCACAAAGTTGGCTCAGTGAAAAAAACTCTCAGCTTAACCAAATAAAACGCTTATTCTCAGAGTGGTTGCAAGTAGCCCCTCGAGTTATTGTTATATAGAATGACAAAAGCTCTAACTTTACGTCTTTGTGCAAAGTCTTCACAGTCTTCTCAGGCCTGTGCTGTCATTTCACACCACCGCCGGCTTTATGTTGAAGCTACGACAGCTCACATTCCGTCTGATCATAGTTGTGTGTGACATTTCAAAGAGGATTATGAGAATGAAATGTGATAAAAACTATTTTCACGTGACCCCTGAGCACTTGACCTCTGATAGGCTAGCGCAGCGTAGCACCAAGGCTCAGACTTCTGTGACTCGCATGTTGTGTGCAGTCCGTGCTTATAGAGAGTCACAGAGGTGATCGCAATATAGACAAAAAGAAAAATCCAATGCACTGCAACAGGACTATTATTCTATATTATATTATATAACGACAAAACTATGAGTCTGGACAATAAGATTCTGATTCTCTGCCAAAAACAACAAACATTCAGAAACAAGAAATAGCAAATGCTCATCAGCAATAAAACCAGATGCAGTATCAAGCATAGCCCACCATACACACACTCCTCTCTTACACACACTCCTCTCCACTATTAATATATTATTGTGTATTTGTTACTTGTGGCCAACATAAATAGAGTTATGTGCTTGAACATGTTGACAAAGCAGCCATGGCTCATTGGTGGTTGATGGATGGCCGTGTGTGCCATGCTAATTATTAGTACACATAAAAGGATGCTGTTATTTCCAGACCTGGCCCAGCGGGTCCCAGCCGGAGGGGTCACTGGGTAAATACGGAGCCATCAGTCTGCGACTATATCACTCAATCTTGATGTATGAGCAAAGAGGTACAAATTAAACGTGCAGCGACCTTCTAGGGGGGTACTGCACTCAACAGGACGCCATTTGGGCTAATTCCTGCATGGGGTTCAGACAATAGGCCACTATACCACATGGTGTAATTACTTTGTGTACACACATCTGGAATTAAGCTCCCAGAGGAAGCTAATACACTTAAAAAAGAAAAAGGGGCCAACCATTTTAGATGTGCAAAATTTAGTACGTGTGGGAAGAACAAGTGGAGGGAGTGTGCGAGTGTGTTATGCATGTGTGTTTGTGTGTTTGATGGTGGGGGGCGGAGGTTGACTTCAAATGTAGATGCTGATGAACATACGCTAACTCTTGACCTTCGCATGTCATCTGCTCAAAGTTAATCATTGCTGTTGAAACAAGGAGAAAAGATCCTCTTTGAGCACTGAGCTCAGAAGATTACATGTCATACATACAGTATCCCTCAAATCTCTCGCTTGCCTTCTATTTTCCCTCTTCTCTTATAGGCTCCCTTCTCCGGTTACAGCCATCTTGCTTCTATTTGACAACGTTACAGCCCCACTTTCCATACCAATCCTATCTGTGTCATTTTGACAAACACAGGCAGAGAGATGTACCATGTAGGGGGGCTCCAGATTCTGGTTGCATCTGGATTTTATAGCAGCTCAATTTTCTCGTGCTGGTGGGCTGCTCAGATTGGATGTGATGAGCTGCGCTGGCTAACATGGAGTCTGTGTGAATGTCAAGTTGCGACTGATATTGATATTGATCCACAGGTTTGAGACCATTGCTGAGCATCAGCCACGACACGGTATGAGGCAGGCAGAGAGCATGAATCTGCATCAGGACGTAAATACTCAGGACATTAGGGAGGGGGATTAGATCTGACAGCTGGTATTGTCTTGAAAATGTGGTCAGTTCTGTCTTTCTTAGTCATTAACAGGGATTATCGTCTCTTTTGTGTTCTTGAGTATACTGAGTTACAAAGTGTGTTTCCTCGCAAGCCTTGCTTTACTTTGAGCGTGAAACTCAAAGCCGCTTGTGGAGCTTAACAAGTTCGAAAAGTATTTTAAAAGTCAAGTACAAATATTTATAACTTTATTGATAGTTTACTTGTACAAGATGTACATTCATATTTTGTGAATCAAAAGGGGGAAAACAAACTGTACGATGATTCATGTTTAGGCATGCTTGCATATGAAATGATAATCATTTTTAATGGGTACAACAAATTCCATGGAGTATTGTTCAGTTCAACCATCCCTGAAATGTTTGTAAACTCGGACACGCTACATTTTTTTTTTTTTTTTTAGGCAAACAATGCACTACAGCCACACCTCCTAATTCAAATTCAACACTTAAAAAAACATACAAAAATAAATGCAAAGCCATGTAAAAATGTACACTTGTAGTTCAACTATTTCATCTTTCATAAACTTTCAGACAAAATAATAAATAAAACACCAATATGTTTAATTTAAAATGGAGACATAGATAAACAATTCTAAATGGAGGTCTGTTAACAGAGAAAATGTTTTTTGGAGACTGTTAGAGGTACAAAGATCTTAAACAGATCTACATGTTTGGCGCAGCTCTGACAGCAGTGTTTAAAAGGTCAAAATAATTTTTGAATTCCAAAACAATCCAAATGTTCTGTTGTTGTCCGGAACAATTAGTTCAAGACAACAGTCTGAATTACTTGGAAATTAATGGTGAAATGCCACGCATAACATGCAGAATTAAGCTAATCATATTGTAAACAACTGCTTGGCTTGGTTTACAATACTGATTTGATGATTTTATTCTGAACATTTCCCAATATCCAAACTTAAATTGATTTTTGTAATGTAGATGGAGGAGATTTTTTATTTAATTATTTAGAACCCAACCCTAATTTCTGTTGCATCCAAAAATGTGCTCGTCCTTCTCAACAAGTGATAACTGTACCTGATGTATACAAAACTGCTTGAATACACAGGAGGTGGGATATGGCACCTGGTAATGAGTGACTTCTCTTGAACTCAATAAAATATACACTGCTGTAGAAAAACTGGTGTGTTTGGCAAAGAAATTCAACACTCCGACAGTGCATGAAAAAACAACAGAAAGAAATCATTGGGTCTCTTTATCGTTGAGGATTAACTGCTAGCTGTTTTTACTTTTTTGCTATTTACAGTATTGCACTTAAACTGCACACCATTGCATTTCAGTTTGACTGATGCTTTCTTCTTATTTTCAGAATTACAAAAAAAGAGAAGAAAAAAAAACGCATTTATACCCTTTATCCAAAGATAATGTCCTTTTTGCTGATCACATGACAATATCAAATCCCCCTCCCCCTTTTAATTAGTAAAGTAGTATCTGCTTGTAGTGCCATTTGTAAACACCCACATACGAGACCTGAAGTGCAAAGGCTATCTTCACTTCTTTACCCAGGATACAACACAACAAACAGAAAGAAATAAAGACAGAGAGAGAGAGAGCACGCTGTGAGGAGATAATGCAAACCAAGTCTCGCCGACACATGCCCAGCAACGCAGAGTAACATCTCTCCCCTCCGCAGCAAAGGAAAAATGAGTTGTTGCTTTTGTTATAGCACAAGTCCATAAGAAGAAGGATAGCAAACCGTAATGGAGACCTTTCTCTTTGAAGGTGTGGGGGGACAGGGGCGGGGGGTCGTGGGCATGTAGAATGGCAGTGTTAAAAAAGTTGTGGAGCGTTTATGTCAGGTGTGTATGGAGGCCAGTCCCAGAACGGTCCTCCATTAGAGCTCATGCAGTTGGCAGCAGCAGGGAACACAGTGGTTGGAGACAAACATGGCCTTTTTTTTTTAATGTTTTCTTTTTTCTTCATTTTTCTAGTGAGGGTGGGGGCGGAAGAGGGGGTGGGGGGGCGGAGGGTCGGCAGGGGTGTAAAGGTGAGAGCCGTTCCAATGCCTCGGTGAGGTGGTGTTTGGGTCTTCCCTCCCCCCCATGCTCAACCCTCTGCATTGTCAACATGGCGGCAGCCAGCGTCAGCGAGGCCCTGCTTTTTGGCCCTGCTGCTGCCCTGCCAGTTTGCTTTGTTCTAACGTCTTCTGGTCTGACGGGCCCCGGCCTGGCCCTCAGACAGACATCCACATGTGTTTGTATGGTCCTTGGGATGTGATCTGTGCCTGGAGTGGACTGAGCCACTGGCCCCGCAGAAGTCCTGCCTGTTGGGGCGAAAAGTAAAAGGTGATTTCATTGGTATTTAATTACCGTTCTCTACAAGTGGTTTGTTTTGGCAGCTGGTTTTGTGACAATTTTCTCGCTCCCTCCTTCTTTTTTTTATTTTCTTCCTCCACTGTTCTCCCCCTCTCTCTCTCACACACACTCTCTCTCTCCCCCTCTCTCTGTATGTGTTCCTCTCTTTCATTCTCACTCAGTGTTTTTGTTTAGTTTAGTTTTAGCTGTGAGTGTCACGGCCCTTTCACAGGCTCAGTCTTGTGTGAGAGGCGATTATGGGCATCAGGCGAGCGGAGGGGCAGCCCGGTGGGGTCAGAGTCCCAGAGCCTCGGCGTGTTTTCTTGCCTTGAGTCGCAGGTCGGCGATGCTCGAGTTCTTGCTGTTGCTTTTGGCAGCCGCCGCCACCGCCGCCGCTGCAGAGGCCGAGTCGGCGAGCGATGCTATTGGTAGTCCGAAGGGAGGGGGCGGGAACATCAGGTAGGGAGCGTGAGCGGCCAGGTGAGGATGCAGGTGGGGGTGGGAGTGGGTGACCCCATCCAACTGGAGCTGGGCTTGGACCTGCAGAGCAGCAAAACACAAAGTTAGTCATCGTGGGAGCCTCAGGCCGTGTGTGTGTGTGTG